GGGCCTGCTGTGGCCCTGAGCTGCCAAACACCACGGCCACCGTCACGGCCTGCTCGCTCTGCCCAGGGCCCAGCCCCGCCCAGGCACCCAGGAGTGAGGTGAGCAGGAGGGCCGGCCCCAGGGCCCCGCCCATGTCCACTGGAGGGTCCTGTGGAGAGACCAGGACAGGCACAGACACAGGGTCAGAGGCACGGAGAGAGGCGGATGGACAGACAGACAGAATTTGAAAGTCAGAGGCAGAAGGACACACAGGACGAAAGAGGAGAGGAAAACCTCCCTCACAAGGACAGGCAGGGAGAGGGGGAGGCAGGCAGGTGCAGGCAGACAGAGAGAGAGAGAGACCGAGGTTAGCAGAACGTCCCGGGGGAATGCCAGCGAGGCTAGAGCTGGGGACAGTGCAGCCACAACCGGAGCTCGAGACCCTCCACTACCGCACGCTTGGCTAAAAAGGCCAAGCCTTCCCTAACTGTCCTTCAGGTGCACTCTGTCTGGCAAGGCGTGCTGAGAATGCTAGTCTGGTGTTCAAGTGCATGGGTTTGAGCCAGGCAGACCTGAGTTCAAGTCTCCGTTCTGCTACTTACTAGCCTCATAGCAGTGCGAGGGCTGAGGTGAGAGAACCAGCTACTCCTCTTACCACGACCTGCTCCTGTAGGCAACAGCCCGTCACCAGGGGCAGAAAGGCCACTCTGTGACTCCCCCATGCCCCACTCCAGTCCTTTTGGCAGCCTAAACCCAATCTTCCATCTGTCTCTCCCCAGGGCACCCGCTACAAGGCAGCACGCCTTGCTTGCCATGAGCCAGGGCTGAGGGCCCTCCTCTGTGTGGCTCTGCCTCGCACAGAGCCTCCTCCTCCTGGGCCTAGGCATCAGACTCAGGCCCCTCTGCAACCTTAGGGAGCAGATCTTCCGAGCAGGGCTGTGAAGGGCTGGTTTGTGCAGGGCACGGTGCACCTGAAACCCGAGGCTCCGGCACATGGGTTTACGCTCAGGCATCCCTGGCGAGCAGGGCCTGCCGTGTAGCCTTGCTAAATGTCATCATTTTGGATTAGGACCAAGAGTCAGCCAGGGACAGTAATGTGCATTCCGAGTGGCACCCATGGACGCAGCTTTCCCTCCCAGCTGGCCATCGGCCATGGCCTCGTACCTCTCCATCTTCATCTCAGCCCTAAGGAAACTCCTGAACAGGAGGGCCAAGCCCCTCCTCCGGGATTTGCACAGCATTGCTAGGAAATGCTATGGCCGTGGTCCTGCCCCAGAAACCGCACATCTGAAAGCCAGATGCCCTCAGGGCTGGGGCTGCAGAAGACGGCCGCGCAAGCTCTAGCTTGCTTTCTTTCCTTCTTTTTGGAAGAAAGAAAAATGCCACAGGGTGTGTGCACTTGCTGGAGAACAACAGAGAGAGAGAGAAATCGAGAAAGCATCCCCCCGTGGGGGATGGTCCCCCCGCAATCTCTTCTCCACCTTCCCCTCCTCTGAGCATCTTCGGCATGTACGCACACGTGCCTGGTGTGTCTCTCAAGCTGCCGGTCCAGGATTTAGACTGCGCAGTCGCCGAGCGGGATCCAGTCACGTAACCACTGGTTGGCCCGACTTTAGCTTTCTCACGGGGCCTTCCTTCTGCCTGACACCAAATGTCTTCTCCCTTTCATACGAAGTCTAGTGTCTTACAGACCCATATGCACATGAGCTGGGTCGCTAGTTCTAAGGAAGCCAGGGAGCAAGGAGTGCAAGAGGCCACCAGGGATTCCTCAGGAAACCTCCTCTGCTCCCCAGGATTGCTGAAAGGGTCTCTCCAAGGGAGACCACTAGACGGACTCTTTAGTTCGGGCCCGTAAGCCGGCAGGTGTGCAGTGAGCACCTGCTGTGTGCTAGGCACTGGCAGCATGTCTGTATGGGTAAGGCATGGGCCTTGGCTCTCTAGGAACTCAGGGTCAAATCTGCAAAATGTCATTAGCACCTCCAACCTCCGTTTTCTAAATGTCTCTGCCTACCAAGATCCTGTCTCCCATATTGTCCCACGAGCTCCCGGCGCCCCCCGACCCCCGGCAAGGCCGTCTCTGCTATGATCTAGAGCTCATTCATTGAAGGTATAAAGGACTGAAAATAGAATAAGGTGTTATCATTCCCAAGAGAGATGTGGTTTAGGGACCAGCTGTTGGCATAATGGCTATGTCGCTGGACTCCCATATAGTCGACCACAGTTCGAGTCCCAGACCTGGTAGCTTAAACTCATGCCTGGTTCGTGTGCATGTGTGCCCAAGATCCTGAGAGGAGAATGGAGGAGAAGGGATTGCGGTGTGGCCATCCCCGCTGGGGGGTGATTTCTTGCTTTCTGTCTCTCCATCTCTCTGGTGAGCGCACATGCCCTATAGAAAAAAAAACAAAAACAAACAACAACTCTCCAAAAAAAGAGAGAGAGATGTAGTTTAGCCGTATTTAGAGCCTCGATCTAAAGTGCCAGGTGATGGAATTCCAGGCAAAGAAGACAGGGTTTTTCCTTTTCATTTTGCTATAGGGTGTATGCCGTTGCTGGAGGGAGACAGCGAGAAATCACCCTCCAGGAGGATGGCCATGCCACAGTCCCTTCTCCATGCTCCTCTCATGATTTTGGGCATGCATGCACGTGCACCCAGTATGTTTTTCAAGACACCAGGTCTGGGACTCAAGCCGGGAAGTTGGCCATGTGGAATCCAACTGCCTTAACCACTGCACCATTGGCCAGCCCAGAGAAGAGAGGATTTGGGGCAGAGGAGGGAATCTTAAACTCATGCTGGTCCCCTTGAAATGTCCCACATGTATGGTGTCCTAGTACGCGAACACAGAATCGTCGGCTGGAGACATGTCTGAGTGTGGGATGAGGTTCTAAGACAAGCGACGCCACAGCTCAGCTCCCGTATGGCAGGATTTCAAACCCGATGGGGCTCATCTCTGCCCACACCTCCAGCCCAGTGCATCCCGTCTCTGGGAAGCCCCCAGGCCTCTATCCTGCCGCTTCTTCCTCCCAGCAGTGAGCTCTGGACCTGTGCTGTCCTCTCCAGCCGCCAAGAGTTGCAGTAGTCACCTGCAACTCTTGAGCTGGGACTCCTCCAAGCAGGTGTGTTGTCCACGTGGACAGCACACCGGATATTGAAGACAGCATGAACTGAGGAGTGGAAAACGGCTCGCTCATAGGTCCACATTGATTACATGTTGTGATATCAACACTTGGGAAATATTGTGTTAACACAGCCTAGTAAAATCCATTTCACCCATTCTTCTTAAGTTTTTAAAACGTAGATACTTGAAAATTTAAAATGACACACATGGCTCCTGGATGAGAGGCCTAGGCCCCTCGCCCACTGCAAAGGGACATTGTCCCCAGACACTCTCCCCAGTGAGGTGTCCTAGGTGTGGGGTGGGGAGGAGGGGAAGTTGAGGCAGGTTGTACCTCTCAAGGTGGGTCAGAACTCCTCCAGGGAAGGGTTGGAGTCAGGTGTGTCTCTGAGCTCCCAAGAGCAATGGGCCGAGTCAAGGAGCCTCAGACATGAAAGTCTTCACACCATGTGGCATCCAGCCACTGGCAAGAAAGGCAGGACAGACCCGCACCCGCTCTGTCTCAATCTCCCCTGACTTCCCCCTCCACCTCTTCCCCACCCACCCCCACCTGCTGCACTGGGCCACTGTGCCCCTCCTCAAACAGAACGGCTCCTTGCCTTCCACAGATGAAGCCTGGATCCCTGGGTCCTATGACCAGGGCCCCACACACCCTAGCCCCAACCACTGCCCTCCCCTCCGTGGCCTCCACAGCCCTGCCACTCTGGTGGCCAAACAGCCCCATTCTGTCCTCATCCCCAGCTCTAGTCCTGCTGTTCTCCTGGCTGGAATGTCCTTCCCTGACAAAATCCTACTGTCCTTTCAAGCCCAACCTAACCCCCTTCCCACGGGGCACCTGCCTTGGCCCTCAGGCTCTGGACCCGCAGTCGGGCCCTCCCTCCCAAGTACGGAGGTCCACTAGCCTCTGCCAGGTGGAGTGGGCAGTGGCAGGCTTTGCCCACCTGAGGAGGCCCCCAGCAACACTGGGCTGTGGGCTCCTTGAGGGTAGAGCCCTGGGCTCCCAGATCCCTGCCACTCCCTCAGAGCCCCGCCTTTCCATACACACCTGCTATTAGGGTCTGAAGAACACCAGGATCCTAAAAAGACCTAGGGAGGGTGGCAGCAGTCACCGGACACTCAGCATCACCCTGAAGGTACTGAGCACCTCCCAGGCTTAAGGTGACCCCCCCCCCATCTTGGGCAGGCCAGGACCCACAGCCTCCCCTTCCCAGGAGGGCACAGACTCCACTGCTCTGGACTCACTGTCCATCCGGTGAGCAGCCCCTACTTTGTCGTCGGGTTTCCCCTCCCTCCCCTTCTGCCCAGCCTAAACCCAAACCCAGGCGTCCCGGGACAGCCGCCCTTCATCTTTGTCCCCCCCCACACCGGTGTGGGCACCGAGTTCTTGCTCCTCCGAGACTAACTACCCCACTCCCCACTAATCTCGTCCCCCGCCGGGGGGGGGGTCTCGCCGCCCCCTCCCCTCTGCAGGAATCTCTTACACTTGGGCTGTGAAGTTCGGGGTATTTTTAGGCCGGCGATAAATAATTCATAGGGAACGTGGCATCAGGCTCCCCCCGCGGGAGGAGGGGGCGCGAGCGGCGAGAGCCACCCGTCACCTGCGGCTCAAGGACACTCGCGATGCGGCGGGGGGGGCGGGGGTGGGCTCCGCGCCACGCCTCCTGGCGGCCAAACTGGGCAACGCGCTCTCGGCGCCCCCCACCTCGCCGCTGCCCCCTGAGGGCGTCCCTGGCTCCTGGGTCCCCATCCCCACGCCTTCAAGCTGGGTCGCGACCCCAGACTCCCTGGTGGGATGACCCAGCTGACCTGGCAGGTCTGGTTATGGGCTGGATACCAGCACAGGCCTGCCAGAGGGCCCGGAAGGAACCCAGGAGTCGGGTCCCCTGCCTACCTGCCCCCTTCACGTTCTTATTCTTCAGGATTTAGAAACAGGCTCAACGTCACTGCCACAGCCAGGAGCTCAATGCCTGCGGGGTGGCACCTCCTCCCTAAGTTCCTTTCCTCGGTTTTCCCGTGGGTCATGGTCAGGGGCCGAGCTAGGACGGCACCAGCATCCGAGAACCACCTGAGGCCTGGGGACCGAGTCCGAAGTCCCTGCTGGGCGAGCTGAACAAGGTGAGCCTTGGGGCCCAGTGGAAATCCCCGCGTCGCTCTTCGAAGAGGATCTTGGGACGTACCCTTGGGGGTTTCAGGCGGCCAGGCACCTTTCTGCCTTCGCACGTCCCCACTCTGCCCTCCTGGGCCTAAACGCCAACCTACTTCTGCAGCAGGAGGCCGCGGCTTCTCGGCCCAGCCGTCGGGGATCTTGGTCCCAGCGCCAGCGCCAGGGAACTCGGAGCGGGGGGCTGTGAGAGCGGCCGCCAGGCCCAGTGCGCAGGGGGTCACGGCGCAGGATCGTGTCCCC